GAAACGTTTAGGTATTTTATTTCTGCAGTTAAAAATGTTTGGTTTTTATGCATTTACTCGTAGCGATCCATTAAACATTAAAAAAAAAAAAACTATTTAGATATTTTATTGTAACACTAATTGTTGTTACAGTGCATGTAAATTAGAAAATGGATAAAAGGATTAAACATTTACATATATAAATATGAACTATAAATGCATAATATTATCTATTTTGTGTACCTATATTTAGAGTCTATCCTAACGTTGGATCTTTAAGTGAACCTAATCAACTTATAGATAATTTTTAATAGACKAATATTATGACATAATGTAACGATTAACTATATATTCTGTCACAATATTTTTTTATCTACCTTTTATTTATATATAACACACTAACAGGGTTATAAATAGTTGATGACGTATTGTTCAATTGTAATTTTTCTGATTTTGCTTTCATGAGTGAAAATATTTTCCTTTTACTGTATAATAATGTATTATATATTAAATTAAACATTAAAGGCATGGTATCATATTGTATGTAATTGTTTATATTATGTTTAATTGCATATCTATATGTATAAATAGGTCTACCTACATAAATATAAAATCGTATGATGATTCATAAAATATTATAATATACCTATTTAAGTAATATATTCATTGGTTTATTTGAAAGTACCTACACCTCAGGAAGCATATAGGTATAATAAAAGTTATAGTAAAACGTCTTAAGTTCAACTAAGTCTAAATTATGAATGTATWTMTAATTAAATATTTCTTTCAATTGAACAATCGAGTAAAATAACCGCTGTTATTGTACAATAGATTTTAATCTAAAGTGYTTTATTATTAGTATACTAATTAGTAATTACTAATCATGGTTGATTCACGCGTGAGCTATTACTTAGGTATCCGTTCTACATCCTATTGATATATATAAGTTGATTAGTTACGCGTTCATCAATGAAATGACTCAAAAGAGTAAGAATTAATACACTACAATATAGGTTTAAGTGCCGATACTATATATAGTAAAAAATCGGTTTAATTAATAATTATACAACAATCTGATATATGTATGTATACGATTTTYATTATAGTCAACAACTATATGGGTGTAAACTAATATTTACTCGTAATAAATATGTTCATTGATTGTTAATTTATTTATACTAAAATAGAAATAGGTATTGAAAAAAACAGAAAAAGAAATTATATTGTATACATCGACTGAGGAATCTGTTTAATGTTTTTATTAATTATATTTTTATCATTTTAAGCTTTATTATGTATCTAGGTATATATCATCATATTTGTTATTTTTGGGAGAAAAATATAATCATTAACCAATAATTATAAAGTCGGTCCATCTCCATACGATGATAGTTAGTCTCGCGATAGTTATTATCGTGATAGTAGGTACTATATCGAATACCTACTTTGTGTGATCACGTTAATGGTAAATATCAAACTATTGTGAGAGCAGCTCTTGTATTATCATATACGCATGCAAGATAGTTGAGAGCTACTATCACGATAGCGATTATCGAGAGAGTATCTACCATCATGTGGATCCTGCTTAACTTTGAATATTGATATTACTAATGTATTGTATATATTATCTATAGATAACAATAATGTATTTATGTACTTACGTTAAAGTTGTGACGAAAACTTGACGGTTGAATTGCCGTCGTGTGGCTGTTGTTGTTGCTGCTGCTGTTGTTGCTGCTGTTGCTGCTGCTGAAGTTGATAGTAATTGTGTAGCTGTGTGTGGGTGCCAGGGCTAGAGTGCTGTGAGTTGCGGAACCCACAGCTAGTTGCCGTGGCTGCGGCCACCGGGTTTGGCACGACGGCGTCAAAAAAGTCAGACGGATCGGCGCTGTACCAACCAGGTGCCCGGTGATGGCCCGCTGCGGCCGCTGCGGCTGCTGCCACGTATTGGTGATGGTGCGAGGCGAACTCGTCTCCATGATTGTGGTGATGGTCACCGGTAGCGGCTGCGGCTGCTGCAGCGGCGGCCGCGGCTGCTGGAGTGGTCATGTACCTGTGATGATGATGGTGCAGGTGGTTGCCCGTGGCAGCCGACGGTGAATCGTCCTGGTGATCGTTGTCGTACTGTAGGTGATGGTGGTGCTGATGGTACGCGGGAGGAGGTGGCGGTGGTGGTGCCGATGACGACGTGGGGCCACCGGACGTCGGCGGCGCGGCCGGCTCACCACCGGCTGACTGGTGCGGTGTGGACGGCGGCGGTACGCCCGGCTCCTTTTTCGGTTGTTTGTTGCAGTCGACCTGCATCAGTTCCTTGACGCCACCACCACCACCGTGCAACAGCAACTTGCACTGTTCTTCTGTAACCTTCTTCAGCATGAGTTCCTGCTGCCGCTTGATGGCCTCCTCCTTTTCCTTGAGTGCGTCCTTCTTCTTAAACCTTCTCCGGCGTCGCAGGTATGACCCGTTGTCGAACATGTTGTACGAATCCGGGTCAAGCGTCCAATAGCTGCCCTTGCCCGGCTTCTTGTCGTCACGCGGCTGTTTGACGAAACACTCGTTCAGGCTCAAGTTGTGCCGGATCGAATTCTGCCAACCTTGCTTGTTCTCCCGGTAGTACGGGAATCGCTCCATGATGAACTGGTAGATACCGTTGAGCGTGCACCGTTTGTCCGACGCGTTCTGTATGGCCATTGCTATCAGGGCGATATACGAGTACGGTGGCTTGACCATGTCCTTAGCGGCGGCTGCGGCTGCTGACACCACGTGATGGTGGTGATGATGGTGTGACGCCTGGTAACCAGCCGCCGGGTTGTATCCATACCGGGCGTATTGCTCGTACGCGGCCGGATACGCGGCCGGGTTGGACGTTCCCGGGTACATGCCCGTCCGGTAGTACGCGTTTTGGTCGCCGAACAGCGTATGCATGATGCTATTTGTTGATTATTGTCTAATGCAATAGTACCACTCACGCCTTATACGACGACGATGAAGTTATTAATATTATGCGTTGTGTATCGGCGAAAACGACAAAAGTTTATTTTTATTTTTATTATTATTGTTATTATTAATCCTAGTCTAATCAATATTATAAATATCGGTCGATAGGTGTTGTGCGTGAGTGTATATTTATATATATATATGTTAATGTATATTTACCCTTTCGCGGGTCGTCCGTACTAGAGAAACACGCGAGACGCCGACGGTCTTTCCGTGGAAATGTTTGCAATGAAAACAATACGCAACGACAACAAACCCGCGCGCGCGCGGACTGACTGTGTACCGCCGCGYAAACGAAAACAACCCGAAAAAATTATTACACTGTCGCCGGCACGCACCACCGTCACCGCGTAACCGTCAGCTCAGTCGCATTCGTAGTCGCAGTCGCAGTCGTCATCACGCCCGCACGTCGCTGAGTGCGTACGACGCGGTCAGCCGCCACCCCCGGACGTCCGTAGAGCGGTCTCCGGTTGGCCGAGCACCGGCACGCCCACCGTCCAACCGGGCTGTCTCCTCCCCGCACGCGCAGACGACAAGCCGCTAGGCCACGGGGTGCGGCGCCGTCACCTTCTCACCCATCCCACTATACCGGCCGGCCGACGACGTGACCACACCGCGCTGTGGTATGCGCGCGCGGTCTGCTTCCGCCGCAGAGGGATAGGCTATAGCCGTGGCCACTTTATGGTAGGTACGTGTAGTAATATTATATTATTCTATGATTTCGTGAAACGGCCGCCGCCGAGGATCGGAAAATCGCGTCGCGCACGCGAGGGTGCGGCGGTGGTGACCCGGGGAAAACGAGGAGAAAAACCGACACCGCCGTCGTCGAGACGGACTGTCRTCGTCCGCGCACGCCACGCGCGCGTATGCGCTTTTACGCACGGCTCGAACTTTTTATCGCGATATTATATTTATCTATATATGATCCGCTAAAAAGTTTTGGTATTCGTATGATTATAAGTTCCGATTCGTATTTATATTGTCGTGTGTGTGTGTGCAATTTTTGTAGGAAGAGTTTCCGACGCTGCTTAATGGTTTTTCTTATGCAATTACCGCGATTTGACTTGTTCATTATCATCGAAATTCAAATGCTTCCCAACGGCRTAGTACACAGAATTTAATGTGTTGTAGGTATGTAAGATTTTTTACCATCTGACAATGGTTATTCGTTTTATAGGTATCATATATATTACCTATACATAAAAGATAGCAGGCGAGTATTGTAAAATACGTGCACTAAAGTATTATAAACTATAATAATATTTAATATTATGCCTTAAATATGACATAAGCTATTATTTACTGCGAATATATATATTATAAATATGATTATAATTAGTGATAACAAAACTAAATATATTTATTTATGGCTATTTCCGTGTTGAATTTATAGAGATTTATAAGATAAGTGATTATAAAATATATACTAGCTCATTACTCGACAGTCRATATGCGTATTATATGTATATACCATCATTGTCCAGATTTTTGTAGGGATTTGATAAATATGAATTTGATAACATATGATAACATATACGTRTATAAGTATATTTATGTATAACATATATGTATAAAAAAAATATTCAAGACTTAAATGGACGTAACATAATACCTATAAATGAAAATAATAAATTGTAATTGTAAATTTTATGTAAATTTTTTAATACTTTAGAATTTAGTTTTTAAAAACAAATTATGTAAATAGGTATAGGTGTTATTCCATTTATAATCAAGTGTTTTAAAGCATTAAGGTTAAATTATTAATGAAATATCACGATTTTATATTGAAACGTTCAACTTGTAATTTGTAAATTACATTATATTTATGCATAGCATTAATGTTGTGGATACGTGTATAATTTATACTATTTTATAGTAAAGAATTTATTGCTACTGAGAATAATTAAAATTGTATACCTACTGCCCTCCTAAAGAGTACCTAATGTTGCAATATAATATATAGGTAGTAAGAACCAAAATGCTAGAAAATATTTTTTGATTTATTCATTTTTCATCCTAATACTATTTTTTTTTATTATTATTATTATTATTGATGTTTAGAATACAGCTCGGCAGCACAGGCCATTAGCAATAGTTACAAATTATTCATATTGTTATACATAATATATTACACATTTACAACTATATTAGATGATAACCGCGTGCTTGGCATATAGGGTGATCTTCTTTTGTCATAAGGAATCCATGGGTAAGTCTGGTGTGGCCTATTCTCAGTCGATTTAAGATAATCTCTACTGTTCGTGATAGATTTGGGTTTTCCTATCTAAATGTTGTGTTTATTATCCTATTTAGTTTAGTAGTCATACTATTCCAGGAGAGATGCTATTTTTTACGAAGAAGTGAATTGATGTGGGATTTAAAATCGTTATAGTATTAATTAACGGTCATATTTGGTAGTTTTTTTCTTCAAAATCGGTGTACAGTGAATTATTATTTGTTTTTTTTTTTCAAATTGATTTGATTAATTGTACATATTATTGATTTTTACTATCCAGCGCAGTATATCCCCACTATATATTTCTATTTGTTTAAATATCGTCAAAGATATTAGATTATTAAATATTCACATAATTAATTTTACTATGCATTTCTATTTTGTAGGAAAAAATAGGTATATAGGTACATTAAAATTGCATAAGAAATTTGCCTATATCTTGTTATATGTGTGTAATTTATAGATTAATATGATGTTTGTACAAATGTACAATTGTAATTTGTTTTAATGTCAGTACGTAATTATACTACCTATACATTATATTTTATACGGACACTATCATTACTATCAATATTATCTATAGATTGTATACGATAAATTCGTAATATGTTATCATTAGTTGAATTGTAATAACTACCCTGATATTTATTTAACTCATTGAATATTTGAATATATATATATATATACATATAAATTAAAAATACAAACATACGTATAGCCGTATAGGTATATAATAATATGTAAATATGACACTGTGTAACTGATGCTATAAGTATTTGACTAATGATTTAAAGAGGTTAATTATATTTTATTTTCAAATGACTTCGAAATAATACATAAGTTCTTACAATTTATTATATTATAAGGGTAAAATAGTAAATGCGTCTTTATATTTTAGTGGATTTATTTGTTTATACATGTTTTTCGTGATATTAATATCATAATATTATAGTATATACCTACCTATATGCGGTGTTTAGACAGTATAATATACTACAGTTTGTCAGTATAAAACTAGATGAATATTAGTCTTATAAATATTTATCATATTTATTATACCACTTTGTTTTTCTACTTTATATTATTTAAATAGATAAACTATTCAAAGTTTTGTTTATATGTATTATAATAATGTAGTGTAAACAATACAAACAAGTAACAAAGATGTGCACAAAGATGTGCAGTTTTTAGTATGTTAGTATAATATGAATTTTTACCTTGAAAATTAAATGTATGTACTATAATATTGTGACGACCGATAACGTAACTGCAGATATTTGTATACAATTATTATATTCGTTAATTTATATTTAGTATAATACTGCAGGTACATGTATTTTGTGCATTTAWAGATATGATCTAGTTATAGTWTAAGGTATATCTATCATATACCTTATAAATTATAATATATTTATGTAAATTGTATTCATACAATATTAYGACATATAATATGGCGTGTGCAAAACCAAAAGTGATTGCAAAAATGCTGTGCCGAGAATCAATACAAATTGTTGAATGGTTATCACGATAGATGGTTTTTT